GTGTGTGAGAGAGAGAGAGACAGAGGGCGCACAGGTTCGTTCTCAGGCTGAGGCAGGCAGGTGGGGCACCTGGCCTAGGGGTGGGGGTTGGGGGAGGGCAGGTGTCTTTCAGAAGGCAGAGCCAGGTTGATGTCCCCCTGACCTCAGGCCGACACCCCAGGCTGCGTAGGGAAGCCGGTCTCAGAGGCAGCTGAGCCCCCAGCCCCACATATTCCCAAATCTCTCCGGGACGCTGGGCCAGGGGAGCTTTGCTGAAGGTCCGGGCACCAGACTCTTCCTCCAGCCTTCTGGGGGCCAATCGGGTGTAGGCCCAGGGATCAGAGCGGCCCAGCCCACCCTGTCCCCAGCAGACCTGACACCCGGGGAGAGGTCTGGGCAAGGCTGGCACCCTGCTGCACAGAGGCCCCGGCAGTCATGCTGGGGTGGTGCTGGGTGGGAGGCCACAGGGCCCGCCCTCTGGAAACAGCCGTGGAAGCCCAGGAGGGAAGGCCGGCAGCACGTGGGATTTGGAGGCGGCCTGCCTTCCCCTGGATGGACACTGGGAGGCTGGCACAGCTGCGGTGGCTGCTGCACAAACCTCGGTGTCTTGTTTGCACTCCCGTCTGACATCAGCATGTCCGAGGCGGGTCCGATCAGGAAGCTTGGGAAGCGGCTTGTCCCAAGGGTTGGTTCCTGGAACGGCCTTTGAGGATGCCCTTTGGAGTACAGACTGTCCCACTGCCAGGACCCTCCCCCAGCCCCCTCCAGGGGTCCCAGGTCCTCTATTGGCTCTCCACGAGCGCTGGGCAGGGGTGCTGCGTGCATGCCCTGCTGGATCGGCCTGCGAGTGGCCATCCTGCTGAGATGCTGGGTTCTGTGGTCCCTGAATCTGATGGTTCCCTGACCTCCTCCTGGTGCATGGGGGGTGGTCAGCAGCAAGGGCATGGTCCCCAGTGAAGCAGGGGGTCAGCCAGCTGGGCAGTCCTCCCATGGGGGGTCTCTGGGACTGTGTGGGTGCTGGGGACCTCCTCAGGCCTGGGGGCAGGCCGGGCTGTGGTAGGCCCAGGGTCACACAATGGACAGCCAGTCTCATACCTGGTGGGCACGTGTGCCATACCTGGTGGACATCTGTCCTGTTCTTGCCAGATGCCCAGCTCCATACCTAGCACACGCCTGTCCCATAGCTGGTGGACCCCTGGTCACTGCATTTCCCAGGCAGGCTTGGCAGCTAGCACTGACACTGACACTGGCACATCCACTCACGGCCGTAGCTCCTTCCAAGGTAGCCTGAGTGTCAGGTTCGTAACCCAGCTGTCTGCAGCCGTCTAGACCAGCCCTTGCTGGTTAGTTGCTCGCTAGGAAGGGCCTCAGCCCTCCAGGCTCTCACTGGCCCAGGCCACAGGCTGCAGACGGACAATGCTCGAACCCCCCATGATGTGGATGTCTTGTCCTCTGGGGGGCTGGGGTGGGCTGCAGGGTCCCACCGCCAGCCTCCCTCAGCTGGCTTAGTCACGTGACCAGTAACTTTGCCCTCTCAGCCCTCGCCGACGAAGCCGGCTACTACTTCTTCAACGGCAACTACAAGGTGGACAGCCCCAAGAACTTCAACATCGCGGGTACCGTGGTCAAGTACCGGCGGCCCATGGACATCTATGAGACTGGCATCGAGTACATTGTGGCCCAGGGGCCCACCAACCAGGGCCTGAATGTCATGGTACGTGGACTGTGGGCAAGGGGGGTGGGGGCAGGCACAGACGCCTGTGGGGCTTGGGACCACGGTTCAGTCTCACTCACTCACTCTCGCCAGCCCTCCCTCATTCACTCACTCTGCATCTCATGTGGTCATAACCCAGTACTGATCTCACTCCACCACCTCCTCCCCCAGTGCCCCACACTAGCCCAGCACTCAGTCACTTGCTCACTTAGTTCTGTTACTGATTGGAGCCACTGAGCCTGCCTGTGCTGACCTGGGCCTTGCCCACCAGGGCCTCCGTGAGGAAGGACAGTGACCGAGGACAGTGTGGGGCTATGCCCCCAGATAGTTATCTCCCTTGCCACGGGCAGTTCTCTCCAGACACTGCCTTCCCGAGTGCTCAGGTGGTCCTGCTGCACCCAGCGAGGTGTGACTTCCCACGACTGCTGTCCTAGGGGTTGGTGGCCTACGCTGAGACCAGCTAGAGGCTCTGCGAGTAGCACCTACCAAGATGGGTGGTATGGCCGTTTCCCTGGACATGGGAGAGAAAGCGCAGCCGAGTCAGCAAGTTGGCCAAGCTTAGCAACATTGATGCCCAAGCCCCACCCTGGTAGTCACTGTGTCCTCACTCTAGTGACACCGGAGGCTGGACACGGGGAGGGCAGTGACCTGAGCCAAGCCGCAGTCTGTAGGGGTCCCCACTGGGCTTTGGCCCCAGGGCTGCCTGATGCTAGAGCCTCTCTTCCTGCCACTGCTGTCTGGAGGGTGCGTCTCCCCGCCCCTGCCCCCCTCTCAGCTGCATCTTGGCTGAAGACGTCTCAGGGGGGACCAGACTCTGATGGGCCAAGGGCCGTCAGGCCGCCCAAAGGGCTTGCCCATGGAGGAAGATGGCCACTGGCAGAAGGAGCTAGGTCATCGGTCAGGTTCCGCAGGAAACAGTGATGTGGAGGCGCTGTGAAGGGGCTCCGCGGGAGTGGGTTCTGGGCGTGAGGGAGACCGGGCTGGACAGAGGGAGGTGCTGGGCTCGATCCAGGCATGACAGGAGCCTCAGCTGAGCACACAGGGAGAAGCTTCTCCATTTGAGGCAGGGGACACCACCTGCCATTGGATGCAGTTGCCCTTTAAGGAGTGGGGCATAATTTTAGGAGGGGCTGCTCCTGTTGGGTGAAGCAGACCCATGGAGAGGGACCAGGCTGTCAATTGGAACTCAAAGATCCCCGGCAGCTTGAGAAATAGGGCCTCGTCCTAACGGGTGAGGCCTGGGAGCTCACCCCAGCACTCACTGCAGTCCACCCCTTGGGCCCATTTTCTCCGTTTGGTGTGCTTGTCTCTCGGGGAACCGCTCCTTTACAGTGATGGTGGGTTTCTCTTGCCCTTAGCTGGTACTTCTGCTAGTCTTATGCGGTGGGGATGAACCAGTCTCTGCTTCCTGAGAGGCTTGGGCTCCTGTTCTCCATACCCTTTACAAGCCATGCTCCTGTGAACCAGGCAAGGGAATATTTATAGATGTTCCAGTGGCTCAGCTGGGTACCAAACACAGCCCCCCTTGTCTCTGGGGTCAAATTCATGTTGATTAAGGTCAGTGGCCCTTGACAGGGTGGTGACTCCTTTCTTTGCCGTTGGCTGTCTTGACAAACATGTTCGAGGGCAGAGCGCAGACAAGGACCTCAGTTTAATGAACTTGCTGTGTGTCCTCATGGGAGATCCTTCCTCCCTCTGGGAATCAGGACCTCTAGAGTCCACAGATCCTAGTGCTATGAGGATGAGGTTCCTGGGCACGATAGTCCCTGCTTTTTCCAAGTCTTGGCTCCCAGGCCTATGTTGTCCGCCTACGAGAAACGCAGCAACATATAATTCTCACTGCGTCCTCAACTACACAGAGGTGCTCAGTTGTGTGGATGAATTACGGACATCAGCATAAAGAATGGGAATTCCAGAACCCTTATTGTACTCATGCAGAACCTACGCACAGACCAAACACGGTGATTCACTCGGAGCCAGGGGATTTGGTGTGGTTTTAAATCAGGCAAGTTAGGGTTGTATGAGCAAATCATTCAAGAAGCTGGATTATATGAAGAAGAACAGGTGTCGCGATTAGAGGGAGACTCAAACAGCCGGTGACTCACCGATGACACAGCCTCACCTGCTTAAAACGAAGAGGACCCACAACACGCACTGCTGCAGGGGAAAACCAACCAAGGAAGCGGTCGCCTTCCGTACGGATCACACCCGGAAGCAACAGTTCTCACAACTGGACCACCACGCCGCATCATGATGCCAGACGAAAAGACTGCGGTTGCTCGGGGTTTCGGCTTGCTTTCTTCAGCGAGGAATGCCATGGGCACAATGGCCGAGAAGCCCCACCGTGGATGGCATCGTGCATGTTTGCCACGAAAGCCCTCTTGAACATGGCAGAAAGCAAAGATGTCGCTTTGAGGACCCAGGCCATGGCCTTTCACCACGTCGTCCGCACGGGAGAGCGGGAAGCAAATCAGGAAGGCGGAGGGGAAATTGACACCTTCTGACGACTGCGTTGATGCACCGTGCTGACTGTCCCACGGACTGCCAGAAGGAAGCACGGACCCGTCTGGGCAGAAGCACAACCAGAACGTGTCCTAGAAGTCAGGGTGGCAACGCTTCATTCATCTCACGTGCTTCCGGGCCCGTGACCAGGAGGGCCGGGTTCTGGAGAAGGACATCCTGACTGGTACAAGATGGACAGTATGGACAGTGGCTGTGGCAAGGGGCTCAAAGGGCAGCAGTGGCCAGGGTGGCCCAGGAGCGGGCAGCATTTTGTTCTCTTGTCCGTAGGGCTGCCAGGACTTGGAACGGGCTCAATGACACCCAACGCCAAGATACAAAGTTGCATCTAGGATGTCCCCAGGCATCGTAATCACAGGGTCACACTGCTTCTGAGATGGCACCTTGGCTTCCCCTCCCACTCACCTCCCCAGGCTGGCAGTTTCTGGGGGTGCAGTACGGTAGGAGCAGTGGCTCCACGTGGCTGTAAAGTGGGTTCTTCGGCCCAGGGTCCCTTGTCTCTGTGAGCCGCGGACTTTGTGAGAACTTGGTCTGTGAGGCTGGCAGGAAAGGCAAAAGCATAGTAACGAGATTGTATGAGGTGCAGAGGGGCCAGCGAAGCCAACTTACCCTCAAGTGGCTAGCAGGTCCCTTTGAGGGAGGGTGCTGTCACAGGGCTCCACGTAGCCTCCGTGGGGGTACGCTGCACTTGCCGCCAGGAGAGTGGCGTGGGTGAGCGGAGCCCATGCTAGCGGTTCCTGTGGCGCCCCCGTGCCCTACACTCCACATCAGGCCGTCACCAGGGGCTGGTGCCAGGCGCTGGTCTCTTTCAAGGGGCGAAGTCATTTTCCTGTTACTTGGCCGTTTAGGGTTTGCCCAGAGCGGGGGCTTTTAGGTGTGAACACGATGCAGGATATTAACCCCGTTTGGTTCTTCACAGGTCCCAGGTCCAGACCTCCTGATAGTTGAAAACCTTCTAGTGGCTTACAGCCAAGCAAGCCATTTGTCACTGCCCACAAGTCAGTACCAACCCTGGCCGTGCACCCCTGTCTGTGAAGACGCCCAGGGTGAGGGGCCGCATGCACTGCCGGGATCAGATGGACTTTGCTTCAACTTTTCGGGGCCACCCCTGAATGAGTGATAGAGAGGGTGCACCCTGTTTCATCTTGC